ACAACAGTCTTCTATCCTCGCGTCAATCCGAGTGACCCTTCTTTCTCGAGTTATTTCCTCTTGAGTCGAGTCATAACTTGACTCCCATCGAATTATCCCAGCGTAATATCCGAGGAAATATCATGCCAAAATAAACCGAACATTATACATTACCAAAACAAAATATTGAAGACGAAATAATGTGCTAACTGGACTTGTCGAGTTCGTTTGACTGGTATTGCTAGTGATTGAATGATATCACATATTCCTGAGGAACATTTCCCGTTCAAGTATGAAAATCAGAGGTTTCAAGAACAAAACACACGGTGTTGTTCAACCATCTTGCATAAATGAGAATATCAAAGTTGACTAAATTGAAAAATATCTGAGAGAAGCTCATTAAGATCAGCAGCCTTGAACGTCACAGTATTCTTTACGTTTGCGTTCAACTGGATGAAAATATGGAGGGGAGGATGGATCGCTCAGTACGTATATATGTATACATATAAGGTGCATCGGTGCTGGATATGAAAAATATGGACGAAGATGATAATTATAATTGGCAATTATTGAAAAGTATACATTCAAAATGTTTGCCGAGATGTTTGCTTTCGAAAAACATTTTTTTTCTGTTATTAGCCACGTTGAACACTAATTCCATGATGTGAGACATTGAACATGAATTTCAAACCATTAAACTCTATTTTTGATGCTTGTCGATTTTTTCTCTCCCTGTATCTCAGGAACTATTCGTTCTAGACGAAAAGTGAATAGAAACTTTTCCATAGGAAATTTCATGTTGTTCAACTTCGTATACTTTCATTTTTTCGCTAGAGTTTGCGAATGTCGAATTATCAAGAATAACTTGAAAAAATGACCTTCAAACGTTTCCCTACTGCCCCGCTCAACCCCTAGGGATCAGGACTTTCAGTATGTTGTACATGGCACTTTCCTTCATCACTCTACAGAAATTTGCGATTACACGATTTTTTCCCCTATTTTTTGTTCGTTTACTGAACTACATAATGACGTCACTTCTCAACGAAATTGAATTTTCAATGATTGTCGTGATGTCTCAATGAAAATCTTGTCCCAAGAAGTACCAATAAAGTCAGTGAAGTCTCAATGAAGTCAGTGAAGTCTTGATGAAGTCAGTGAAGTCACCATGAATTCATTGAAGTCTGGATGAAGTCAGTGAAGTCATGATGAAGTCAGTGAAGTCTCGATGAAGTCAGTGAAGTCTTAGGAAAATGTGAAGTCTGGTGTACAAATTGCCGTCTGCGGTTCGCCCCTCATATATTTATCTTGGAGAATTCCTGTTACCTGAAAAAAACCAGTGAGTGTTTTCAATTTTCTGTTGTTGGATTTTTCACCCAAGTGGATCGTTACACTTGAAACCGTAATTTTTAAAGGTAAAACTGCATTTATCATGCGATGGTTTTTTTTTCTTGAAAATTTTTTTCGGTACTCACGTATTTTTGTCTGACAAACCGAATTTTATAATGAAAATGTGAATAAACCACTATTTATTGAGATATTTCGAGAAAAAGTTCGAAATTTCGCCTTCTTTCTCCCCTTGTGTTGGGGGCATTTGAAGCTACTTGCTCTTATTTTGTCATTGTACACTTTATATACTCATGATGTACTTCGATGGCACATTTTTATATAGAAAATTCAACAGGAAATATGATTTTTATGGCGAGATTTTCATATTTAGTGAACAAGCAGCATAACTTTTTAGTCAAATATCTTCATGATAAATATCATGATAAATGCAGTTTTACCTTTTCAAGTAGAGTGTTTGTAGTTCATGTTGATATGATAGTTGCAATTTGATCATTGGAATGAATTCTGCATTCATTGCCACGAGGCAGATGACCGTTTTCAGAAAGAAATTTGAGAATGAGAATTAAAAATGCCCGTTTATTATGAACATTCATGAAAATTTCCTCGAATTCAGAGATGATTTTGTTGACTATAATATACGAATACAAAACTAACTGCACAATCAAATCTTTTCTATTTTTCCTCTACTTATACTTTTTATGAGAGAGTAATTGTCTTCTATTATTAATTCATCATTATAAATTAAGCTCTGTTCACTACTGAACTTAGATGGAGTAAAATCCTCGCGGTGAATTGCATAAATACCCACATTTTCGATAGCTCCTCGTCCAACGGGAAACTAAAAGCATGAACTTTTGAACCACCCACATAATTCCCCCGACAAAAAGGAACACAACACTTGAAAGGCATTGTTATTTCGCCGATCACAACACAAAATATTTCACAAAACAGTAATTTTTTCGCCAATTATTTTGATGATTAAACAACAAAAGAATTCGGGACCGTTTCAAAAACATACGTGAATCACCGATGAATTAACACGAACTGACGCGTTAGTCGACAAGCGATAAAATAAAACACTGGCCTCTTTTGGTGACGTCACGAGCTGTTTACATCAGAGTCTGCTGGCCTTGTTGTATCGGTGGTAAAAAATTTGTAAAATTTGTATATCGCTACTTCAAAGTTGGGAACCAACTCCCCAGAAGTCGATACTTGTGAGGGGTTAGGAAGAGCGGGACCTACAGCTCAATAGTGGAATCCGAACCACTTCTAGGGCACTCCTAGGGCAGGTGCTTCCAGGACTACAACCATGAATCACACATTTCAAAGAAAAAGGCTCAGCCTGATAGCCGGATTCGAACCGACAGTACCTTCGCATCGTAAACGGCTATCTAGCGAAGTTCAGCGCATAGACAAACTCGGTCACGGCGCCCCATGTGTGTGTGTATGGATTGAAAGATCGTGGGTTCAGGTCCTCTGATTAACTGAAGAAAATCTGTTTATGACGCCGATAGTAATTTCAGCTATTTCAGTGATGTTTCTTTATCAGGATCAGCCGGAAATTTTTTGAATATTTACTTCCGCACGGCTCGCTCGCAATATTTGATGCGTCATGTCTCTAGACGGTGATGAAACATAACAGATCAATCGTCACGAACGCGCAGGACTCGCAATAGGAACATTAACGTGAGCATTTCAAGTACTATAAACTTCCTCGTACTTCCTGTACTTCCTTGTACTTCCTTGTACTTCCTTGTACTTCCTTCTACTTCCTCGTACTTCCTCGTACTTCCTCGTACTTCCTCATACTTCCTTGTACTTCCTAATAATTCCTCATACTTCCCGTACTTCCCTTGTACTTCCTCATGCTGTACACCATACTTCCTCAGCGGTTTACCCCTCGAGGCTTCTTTATCACCACCAAACTTTTTCGTAGTACGCCTCTGGCATCTTTCAGTGATCTAATTGTGTGAATCGTTCAATTTAGAGGCTTTTTTTACCTCTCAATTTTTTTCGAGAAACGAACCGTTTTTGAGGTATATAAGCATATACGTTCGAAAACATGTTAATTTTGCTTATGTACCTACCGCTAAAATTGAATTCTTTGACAAAATTCGTTGAAAATGCAACAAAATGTTTTCAGATTGCAATGTTCTTCGCACGAGTCCAATCTGGATAAGTAGCGGGGATACAGAGGGTAGAAGATCAATAAGGTTGTTCTTATAACCGACCAATACAACGTCGCGAATAATATTCGTGTTAAGCCACTGGTTGAGCCTCATCCAGTTGTATCCATATTTCTTGTCTGATATTTTGTCTTATATCATTTGAAGAAATTGAAAAATAATATGGCTTTTGGGTGTATGATAAATTGACATTCATCATACAGGGCGTGGAAAGCAATTCTGAATTGAGACTCTATCACGAATCACGAATCTGCGATTAGAGGTCTATAAAAATCACAAGTTTCCATCGTTTAAGTTTGAACCCCCTGATTGGGTATGAAAGTGTTGAAAAGGAATATTCGCGTATAAATTATGGACATACAAAACGGATATGAATATATTTATATGAAGCAATACATTGAGAATTCGCATTCTCTATGTGATGAGAATATCTACTCTTTTTCAGTTTATTCAATAAAAAACAACTACTTTCCTGGCTATATGCCACGACGAACATTGAATTATATCTATTGAACACACACGATGAGAGTTTGAAAATAAAATATAAAAACTTCTGAAATTGAGAATTTGAATTCTCCTTATATGTATATGCACACATCATTCTGAATATTCAACAGAAAACAACTACTTTCCTGGCTATTCTCCAGGAAAGTATAGTTGTTTTCTGTTGAATATTCAGAATGATGTGTGCATATACATATTTCTGTCTGGAGGAGAATGGAAATTCTCAATTTCAGAAGTTTTTATATTTTATTTTCAAACTCTCATCGTGTGTGCTCAATAGATATAATATGGCATTCAACCTATCGGCAAGAATCTAAGGCCACATAGGATATTATGTAATAATCAAGCCACAAGTTAGTTATGGTAATTTACCAACCTACTTCTGGTAAATTTGGCTTTTTCAGGCCACGATATTTTTTTCTTAAAACTGTTCGTCATTTTCAATTGCTTCTAATAGCCAGTGGCAAAATGTCAATCTTCTTGCTGGGTCCTCTGGTTGTAAACCCTGCACCACAACACCATGCACTCTCAATAGTATAATCCAATATGGCACTGATGTACAGGGTGATTGTGTTTATTTCATTCAGTGTTTGTTTTACCAGGAAGTATTGTCATGAGTATCCAGAATGTAGTACATGTAAATGTAGAGAAGCATCGTGAACCTGAGAATTTTTCATTAACTTGTATTCATCAAATTTAACCACGTATTTCATTTTCCTAATGGTATATAGAGCTTTTTTTTTTCGATTTCAAATATGAGAAATATAGAATTTTTGTATGAATCTAAGGCAGTTATAGAACGACAGTAAGATTTCAGCAAGTTAATGTGCTTCAGGAGAAACATTCATGACGAAAATTTTCCTCAGTAATATGAATCATCATCACATCATAATTCACGAAACTCGATGAAGTGTGATGCCAACTGTATATCGAGATGTAGTTCACCTTCTGACAGAATGCACGAATACAAGTTTGGCAGTTCAATGTCAGTATAGCATATTTCATTCATCCATCAAAATTGTCAGTGAGAATGACCAACCATTTTGGCAAATTCATCAACAAAATCCTCAGTGAACTGAAACCAACCATATTCATCCCGACAAGAAACCGATCTATTTTTCGCGGTTCTAAAGCAAAACAACAGAACCTCTCACCATACATAATCCTCAAGGCAACTAAAGAGGACTATGACCATGTCCTGAAACTGATGCACGAATGTTTCTACATCGAAGAACCGACATGCTTGAGCTTGAATCTGAACCACAATACAATCCTGGATGAAACCGCCTTGAAAAACATGGCAGAAGGTATCACTCTAGTAGCCAGATGCAAATACGATGGGTGTATTGTAGGGGCTTGCATCAACAATACCACGAACCCTTGGGATCCAGATTTGAAGGAGAAACTGGCTTGTAACGTCCAATGCACGAAGACTAAACAACTCTTGCTCTTTCAAGCTCACGTACAGAGATTTCCTAGACTGTGGAACTGTTACGATGTTCAAAAGGTATTCGAAATATCGAACGTATTTCTAAAGAGGGAGCTTCGCAAGACCGACATCATGGAGAAATTAGTACGGGAATCCAAAGATTTGGCAGCTGATTGTGGGTACAAAGTTGTTAGACTTGATGCTACAAGCAAGAATTTGGTGGAATTATGCAAAAAAGTGAATATGGAACTAGCAGCTGAAATACCATATTGCATGTATATTGGAAAGAATAATAAACCCGTTTTTGATCCACCACATCCCAATGACTCCGTTAAAATCTATGTGGATGTGGATCCCCAAATCAAGAAGGTTGTTGGGAATGATAGTTCTATCTCAAAATGAAATATTGAATGTGACATAATCATATGAGTTACCACATGGAATTACCCATATTCGAATAAAGTAGATATTGAAACTCTTCTTCAAACTGTGTATCATTGGCCATATATTGATTGAGCAAGTGGAATTGAACATTTTTTCAATAGAAACAATGAACATTCCCATCATCAATTCCTTGTTTTCTGCTGTTGACAGCTACTCAAATAATATACTCGATGATATAGTCTGAAATCCCAATATGGGGAAGTTGGGCTCCATAGTCAGAATAAACAGAATTTTCGACTGTGAACGGAGCCTATTCGCCCTAAAAGTCGAAATTTCTGGAAAATTCGACACTCAAGTTCAATATGAAACCGACGCCATATTAGTTGGCTCAAACCTCCTCCGCCTTTGACGAAAAAAGAAAAAATCTCCACATAGCGATCACATCCTGATGAATTGTAATACAGAAGAGTTGATTCATTTTCAGATGAAATTGTTGGAAAAAAAACCGAGAACACAAAAAATATCATCCAGTTTATTTCTACAAATCCAATAACTTCAAATCAACATTATCACATTGAATTTTGCATCGCAGGTTACATGGCATGTACATATTTGTTTTCCAAACCCAACCAAATGACAGTGAAACATGTAGAAATCTCAGTAAACTCCCTTCCATAAGTAGGTTATGAATAACGTCAGAATAACTAAAATCAGATCACTATCCGACTACAATTATGACAATTTTACCTTATTGTTTCCTTGACCCATTGGTCAGGAAACAAACGGACCTGGAATCTGATTCGATTTCTATTTAGTTTTGATGGATTTTCACTGAGTTGGCACATCAAGAGGGGGTGATTTCAAACCATCAATGTGTTTTCTCTCTGCAGGTGTCGTATGTACATTAAAATTTGAAACACCTAGTATAACGAATGTAGTATTTTCAGTGATACAGAAAATTATTTTTGTGACAGCCGCTTGGGCATTCTCTTCAGAAAAGGTCCAAATGCAACGACACATCGTAAATAGAAGACGTTCTCTGTTTCTCCGCAAACGTGTATAGAATTCGAGCCAAGGCAAATATTGTTTCTCTGAAAACGCTACACATCCACCACTAGTATTTGACGAAAATATAGAATGATAAGTGGAAACATTCACACCTAAATCATTCGGAGCACGTCCTGGGTATTTAGAGGCATCGTGTTCGTCTGCCTGAATCTATATACTGAGACGTGAAACAACTAACATTCTTGAAGATTTTCTAGTATGACTTCGGACTTCGACGTATTGTGGATTATATTAAATATCGCCGTCATTACGAATATGAATTAACCGAATTCTGAATTTTGTAAAAAAAGTGAACAAATTCATTTGTTACCTTTAAACACGAAAAAACGTATCTATATCTATATCAATTTTCCAATAGCATCCGAAACAATGAGGAACTTTCTATCCGAATTCTGTCTGTATAGTGCAGCAGGTGAATTTTTTTTATTTCCAAAAAACATTCAAAGTGGCTTCTTGATGACACTTATAACAGGCAGCAAAGGTAAACTTTTATTGCCTAGGCAAAAAAAGTACTGCCTAGACAGAACAAGTTTGTTGCTATGCAACTTTTCAAGAAATTTGAATCCAATTGGTGATCAAAATTGACAACGACTTTGGTGAACACAAAATGATGGATTATTTGGACTCTGTGTGAAATTGAAAGGAATATGGAGAATAACATTATATGTTCAACATTGCAGAAAAAGTGATTCAATGCCTATTAGAACAACTAACTATTATTTGTCCCTATGAATGAAAATAATAGTAATTTTTCAATAGGTATTTTAAGTGAGGACATATCAAATGAATCACCCCAGAATACCATAGCGCTCTATAGAGATGACATATTGGAATACATGAAATTTTAATCATATCTATACAACGAAAAAGCTTTGGAATTTTCTGCTAATAGAAGTATTCCTAAAAACTGCCAGGCAGCGCTAATATTCAAGTTCTTGTTTAGTCTTCTTCTTTTATGTTTCTTGGTTTTCTGACTCCTTGCGGTACCAATTTCACCAGATCAGGTAAGGCTTGTTTAGTCTTGCTCATTAGAAAAATCATAAGATAAATTGAATTTGTATGTTATTGTCATCAAGAGATATCTCATGAATGAATTGATTCAGTCAGAAAATATTATCAACAGGGTTTTCCTTTCGTGCGCTCCAAGAAATAGAAAAAATCTCCTGCGGAAATTCTGCTCTCGAGGAATGATTGAAAATGGAATCCAAAGTATATATTGTTTTTGTAAAAATTATTATACAAATGAAGCAAATAGCCCCCACCAAGAGTGATGATCCATGAAGAACATATGAACTGACAAATCGAAATGAACTGACCGAATATGTCAGAGTGATGGAATAGTATGTGAAAAAAAATAACAACTATCATCACGATCATCATCGTTCATTCAAACAAAATAATACAAAAAGACTACTTATACATTATGCAAATAAACAATAAGAAACCCACAGAAGCAATAGGTGATGGAAAACATGTAAAAAATAATCGAACAAACCAATAATTAGGATAACTTGAATCAATAGTTTCGACATACAAATCGAGTACTGAAATTTCAAGTAGAATAACTGAAAGAGAAAATCATAGAATCCTCTTGCATTCTTCTGAACGTAGACAATAACATTATTGCTTCCTATTCAGTTGAAATAGGTAGAATATGGTATTATTTAGTTCCAAATGAAATAGGTGAAGAATCATTTTGCCAATTGAATATTGAAAACGGAATAAATTTTTTTCCGTAACGTCCCCAGTTATTTGGGCAAACCTATGTGTATCAGCTTGTTCTCCAAATGGTATGTTATGTTCGAGATTATGTTTCTCTTCTCAGTTGAATCCACCTCAATGATTTATCACAAGTTGATGTTCATGTTTTTCATTCTGGTTAGAATGTGTGACGAATTTTAACGAAATTATGGCAAGGAAGTATTTTGGAGCATAAAAAAAACAAAATATTTTATTTTACATGATTAAATTCATAACGAAACAATGTTCTGTCTTCCTGTTGCTAACTGTAAAATTAGATATACGTATGAACTCGGCTGTAATACGAAGAGAGAAACGGAGATCTGGAATACTCCCAATAACAATCAATAATCAAGGCATCATGATAGCGAATCTATGAAACTCCATTTATATCTTACATTTCAATGCTCTGTCTCTCAAAATATCTGTTCAAAGGAAGTTTCCATTCAATCAGACTATAGTCCTGCTATTTGGGCCTGATACATTGTGTGAATTTGTGGAACACTAGAGTAGATTTGAATTTTCCCTTATAAATTCAATGATCTCATGAACTTGCCTGAGCACAAATAATACAGAAAAAAACTTGATGTTTAGGAATCAACAGTTGAAGTAATTTTCATAGTATGTTTCAATGTTTCACGCCAAATTTATTTGGAACTTCTCTCCAGCCTCGAGAGATTTCTCGATACCCTTATAAATTATTGTCTACTTTACAGAAAATACCTACCTCAGCAGAATGTCTACAGAATTCCAAGCAGATATACAATCCCTATTTAAATGAGGGTAAAACGATATAAAGATACAATTTCTTCGATTCATATACCGATATCAAAGCTATATATCATGAGAAAATCAAAACTTGGAATAAGTAGAATGAGGATTCAGCATGTGTTCGAAGGGAATGAATAACTTCAAAATATCTACTTATCGATTTGATTTTGGTTCTAGTGATCACGATAATGAACTATTCCCCACGATAATTCAGTTAGCTTGATCATTTGTTTTCATGTTCTGGTTCCCACGAAAAGGGATATCCTGTAATGTTCAGAGAACATCGTGAGGACCAAGGGAAATAAGGTAGGAATTGGTGTTCTTCTCAAAGTTCTGGAGGTTATATGCCTTGGGAAACACATCCCTTGGCAATGTGTTCCAGTACCTCGCTGTTCGTTGGATGAACGAGTATTCGGAAAGAGATGATCTGCAGGTCTCCAAAGTGACCACGAAGGGGTGCGAAGCCTCAACTCGACGGGTTAATATCGCGGGAACTGCCAAGGGAGGAACAATTGTTGATATTTCAGAAGAGCATCGTCCATGGAAATATCTATGAAATAGAGCCAGATCGACAACTTTTCTACGGTGTTCCAGAGAAGTGAATGAGTTTGTGAGCGATGCATCACCCAAGAGACGAATTGCCCTTTTTTGGACAGAATCCAACAGTTTCAAGGTATGTTTGGGTGCTGCACTCCAAATATGGGAGCAGTATTCCAGAACAGGTCGGATCTGTACCTCATTGATCATAAGCAGCTGACTGGAAGTGGAACAGCCCCTGGCTCGAAACAGTTTGACACTTTTCCAACTATAAGCAGCACAACTTCCAAAGAGAAATATTTTGCATTTTCATGTTGAGAACGGGAGCAGATTCGATCCCGAAACGTCCAATGATAAGTAAAAACTCCATATTTTCACAATATATCTATATTTCTTTCCTTCATACATTTTTTCAATCAAATTGTCACTGACAAGCTACTAGATTTTTCTTTTAGGCTCCCTGATAAAAAAAATTGTTAAACGCAGTGACATTTTGAAGCAAATCATCTGATTTGTCCCACTACGAGTATATTGATATTATATACGCACATTTTGATTTTATAGAAACGAGGAGAGAAAATCCAAAAAATCAAGTAGAATGAATGTACCACCTCCTCGATAACCTACAGACAGTATTTAATGTCTTAGTTTATTCGAGTAATTTCCTTCTTCCACCAATAATATATTCAGACTTTTTATAACAATACTCAAAAACTAACACAAGCATTGTTTTCTCCTTACAGATACTGTGGTTATATTATCTGAATCAAATGTGTCTCCTTTTGGGATCACAATGTACCGTTTGTTTTCAACACTGAAATCTGTTTCTATATCAAATTTGAAGGAAAACTCCTCGGAAAATAAAATAATGTATGTAAAATCCACGATGAAAACTCTTTAAATTCACCAGAAAACATTCAGTAGTTGAAGTGGTCTAACTAGCACTATCCAGATTTTTTTGAATAGAAAGTTGATTTGCAAGATTGTCCTTACACTTACATCACTTTAGATAACACGCGTGATCCTGAGTGAAGTGAATCTTCGAAAATATCTATGAAATTCACAGTACAAAGACCCAATAGATATCAAGGAAGGCTCGGTATTGACCCCATTTCGGCCACTCTCAATGTTGAATAAATCCTTTCTGAATCATCTGTGGATAATAGATCCATGAAAACAACTACTGTATCAGCCTAAACATGATAGCACTGGAACAATTTCCATAGAGCTTGTCAGTATGCGATAGGCAATCCCCAAAACTGTATATCCAAAATTAACCGCCTCATTCCATTGAAGTAACCTTTTTGTTATGCGGTGAAAGCTATAGAGCCGCTAATAGCCCCAATTCGAAATTCCAATCTAGATCCAAAGAGCATCTGAACG